CTTGAGTAGTTGAAAGTGTATAATATATGTAGCTCACTTAGATGAAGTTCTTATCAAGTGTAAAAAGAGAGAATTTACGGTGTGCTTGTGGTGAGCTTACTTAGGGTCCGGGAGAACAAGCAGCAGGTTCAGCCAAGGCTAGTGGTGGAGGAACATCATCAGCTGAATCCACGGGACCAAAAGTGTCAGAAGACAAGGACAGAAACTATGCGGTAGTGGCGGGTGTGGTGGCTGTCGTTGGTGCCATTGGTTGGTACATGAAATCAGGCGGAAAGAAGCAGCAGCCAGAGGTTCAAGAGTGAAGAAAGGTAGTTGACTTTGGAACGGCTTACGATAATAAAATAGAGAGTGGCTTATTCATTCTTCTTGTATGACAGTATGAGTTACTTTGGAGTTGCATATTACTCTTTCTTATGGTTTTGATTTCCAAATTTTGAGAAGAGATTTTACTTCATTTTTTTAGGTTTGTTGACATTTCGATTCGGAATCAAGTACAGCTTCTGTTCTCCTTATTCAGAATAATACTATCCCGAGAGTTAAATTGGAGAAAAAGTTCTTGTGAATTCTTGTAAAAGCAAAGATGACGCAACATGTGGATCAAAGATAACAAAATAGTAACTTTGTTTCCAGTGAATAGTACTAGTTGAACTCGAGTTTTCATATCAAACAATTTGATAATAGTTTTTGTTGTAAACACACTTAATGTATAGGCAGATTTTCAAAGAAAGGAATAAGATTGCAAATATAAGATCATGTTTGTGTAAAAATCTCTCGAGAATTCCAGGAACGACAAAGATACTGACCGAGTACAAACTAGAAAACAACAACATAGAGATTCCCAAAACGTTACAAAATGAAAACAAAAACAACTGACAGCCAAGCATACGCTCTACTCGAACAAGCTGAAACCCATGTCCTGCAATATTAACACAAAAAACCACAAAGTGAGCTATCATAATTTATGGTTAAAATTAAAGGCTTTAGCTATAGAAAGGAAGTAAAGCTTACATCATCGGATTCTTCTTTCTCCTCTTTCTTCTCTTCTTTCTTGGACTCAGCAGCAGGAGCAGCACCTCCACCACCACCAGCAGATGGAGCAGAAGCCATGGCAACACCACCACCACCACCGCCGCCTACTGAAGCCAACTTCTCACTTCCGGCAGCAATCAGCTCAGACACATCTTTCCCTTTGACGTCCTTCAACAGAAGCTCAATCATAGAATCCTCAGTTTCGGCACCAACTGCAACAACAAAAGACAAAGACAATATTACATTCTATCACTTGTTCTGAAAACAAATGCATTTCATTAATTGTTCCTCTTCTATTACAGACATCCCAGAATAATTACTAAAGCACTAATTCCCATTTATATACGCAATATTACTAATCTTAACATCGAGTTGATAAAGAAAACTTTAAGAAAACAAAGAACAAACCTGAATTGAGGATATCCTTGATATCAGCACTGGTTGGGGAAGCTTTTCCGCTAAGAACAGCGAGCAAGAAAGCGGCGACAACCTTCATTTTCTGTATACAATAATACAAAGAGAGGTAAGTAAGTAAGTAAAAGATTAGTAAGCGAGAAATTGAAATGAATAAGAGGAGAGCTTACTAGGGAAGTTGATGGGAACTCTCGCAGGAGGCGCGGCGGAAATGCTAAGGGTTTCTGAAGACGGTAATGAAGAAGTGAGGTAATAAAGGAAAGTATTGTTATTTATATTACATACACTTAGGGTTTTCTTCTGTGGTCTCCTCCAGTATATTTACATTCGGCCCAGTTCAATTTCAGGCCCAACGTTTCATGGGTTCAATCTTCTGTCATTTTTTAACAATTGAAATTCATTTATTAATTAAGTTGTAAGCAAATTACATAGATACATAAACAATAAAAAATAACATAACTAAAACGATGATAAAATTTCATGGGAACTTTAATTTTTTTGTTAAAATTTGAATATATATTCTATTTGTTGTATTATATTGGTTTCCTTCTAATTTAAATCTATAGAAATTTTTCAATTCATAATCCAATGTATTGATTTAACCATAAGAACTAATAAAAAAAATATCAATTTTCAACAATATGACGATACAACAAAGAAACTACTTTTTTGGATGATGCATTCCATGATTTCAAACAAATATTTTGATAAAAAATATATTGTATCAAAATAAATTTTGATGGTTGGCTAACATCATACTTCTTCCTCTTGTTTCTAGATATTGTTCTTCATGTTGAATCTATGGTGGTTTCATTTTTGGTCGGTGTTTCCATAATAAATCTATAATATTTCTTTCAAACATCGAATTATTGTCACACTTTCTGTAGAATGTGGAACTTGATTCTCATTAGAAATAAGGGAGTTCAATATATACAACTCACGTATCTTGTCTAACTAGGGTTTTATGATTTACATTATAATCCTTTCCATATATATACTCAATCCTCAATACGCTACCTCAAGATGGAGGGACTTTAGTGACTCCAATCTTGGACGTTGCTATCAGAAATTGCTGTCGGCTTAGTGGCTTCGTGAGAGCATCTGCTAACTGGTCTCTCGTAGACACATGTGCCACACGCACCATACCCTGTTGTATGAGATGCCTAATGAAGTGATAGTAAATAGCTATGTGCTTCATTCGAGAGTGAAAGACCGGGTTGGCAGATAAGTAGGTGGCTCCGACATTATCACAGTAAATAACTGGAGCAACTGGAATCTGAACCCCAAGTTCTTGAAGCAAAGAACAAATCCATCGTACCTCAGATGCCGTATTGGCGACTCCCCTGTACTCAGCCTCGGTGGATGATCGAGCTACGCCACTCTGCTTCTTTGAAGACCACGACACTGGTGTTGATCCAAGGTAGATGACGTATGCATTCGTTGATACGTAGTCATCACTATCACCTGCCCAGTCCGCGTCTGTGAATGCATGAAGAGTTAGAGGAGAACCTGCTTTCATGTACACGCCATGACTAGGAGTGCCTGCCAAGTAACGCAACACCCTCTTCACCGCCTGCCAATGAAACTCCGTTGGTTGATGCATGAATAGAGATAACCTGCTCACTGCGAAAGAAATATCAGGTCTCGTGAATGCCAAATATTGCAAGCTGCCAACGATAGAGCGGTATTCCGAAGCATCACTGAGAGGAGGACTATCCTTCAATGTCAATTTTGGAGTTGTTTGCATCGGAGTGGACACTATCTTCGCATCCAACATATTCGTTCGAGCAAGCAAATCCAAAATGTACCGTCGTTGCATAAGATGTAAACCAGATGGTGACCTTGTGACCTCCACTCCCAAGAAGTAATGTAAATCTACTGGGTCTTTGATTGAAAATCGATACGCTAGAGACTGTAATACAGAGGAAACAAGCGTCTCATTACTTCCCGTGACAATTATGTCATCTACGTACACAAGGATGTAGGTCTGATGACTTTGTTCATTTTGAATGAAAAGTGATGTGTCCGCCAATGAGTTCCTGAAGCCAATCTCAAGGAGATGATTCTTCAACGCTGTATACCAGGCTCGGGGAGCCTGTTTCAAACCGTAGATGGGTTTCTTTAACCGACACACATGATGTAGACGATCAGCATCGACGAACCCCGGTGGTTGCGTCATGTATACCTCTTCCTGTAGTTCCCCTTGCAGAAACGCGTTATTCACATCTAACTGCTTCAACTGCCATCCTTTGTTCACCGCAATATCCAGAACCAAACGTATAGTAGTTGTCTTAATGACAGGACTAAAAGTCTCACTAAAATCAACTCCATACCTCTGAGTGTTGCCTCTTGCAACCAATCGTGCTTTTGGTCTTTCTTCTTCTCCGTTAGGAAAGTACTTTGTCGTGTAAATCCATCGACAGCTGACCAGATTCTGTGATGGATGGGGGGGAACTAAGTCCCACGTGCCATATTTGATTTGTGCATCATACTCCAAGGACATAGCCTTACGCCATCGTTCTTCCTTGAGCGCCTGAGTTACAGTTCTGGGTTCGCGATTTGAATGCTGTCTGGAAACTGTGAGCGTAAACTTCTTGTTCGGTTTGAGAATCTGGTTTTTAGCTCTTGTTCTCATCGGATGTTGATTCTGGGGTGGTTGGTTTGTTTGGCCTAAAGTGACTGGATTTTGGTGGTTTTGGGTAGTTTGAGTATTTGACGGTGGTTGAATTTGTGGTTCACTGGTTCTAACGGAATCGGAGTGGAGAGTTGGTGAGGATGATTGATTTTTTTGTTGTTGGGTTTGGGCTTCATTTGTTTGGTGAGGTGTCTGGGCCGTGGGTTGCGGCCCATTTTCATTTGGAGCAGTGGGCTCAGAATTATTGGGGGGGGGGGAAGAATGTGTCGAAGAATCAGAGGAAGAAGATGATACCTGGGATTGTTGCGACGCCGGAGACGGGATGTGCGATTGTTGGTGAGGATCCGAACACGGGGAAGAAGTTGTCGGTGTAGCTCGAGTTTGCAGAGGTACTTTTGTGACGGGAGTGTGAACAGGGGAGGTGGAACCAGTGTCGTCGATATCGGAGGTAATAGTCGAACTCGTCGTAGTCGAACTCGTCGTAGAAGAAGAGAAGGGGAACACTGTTTCCTGAAATGTTACATGGCGTGATGTGTACAGTCTTCTCGTAGGTATGTGAAGGCAAAGGTAAGCACTTTGGGTTGTAGAGTATCCCAAGAAGACACACGGTTTTGACTTGTCCTCCATTTTATGCTTCGTGTAGGGTTTTAACCAGGGAAAACAGAGGCAACCGAAGACCCGTAGACGGTGGTAATTTGGAGCTTTTTGAAACAACCGCTGATATGGTGAGTCGAAGTTTAAGTTGGGGGTCGGAAGCCTATTTATCAAGTAGATGGCTGCAGCAAAAGCAAAAGGCCAGTAGGTTTTAGGAATTTTTGCTTCAGACAGTAGAGTTAGGCCTGTCTCGACGACATGTCGATGTTTTCTCTCTGCGACACCATTGTGTTCAGGCGTGTGTGGTGGAGAAGTAAGATGAGAGATTCCGTGCGCCTGAAGGTAAGATTTCAAAGCTATAAATTCTCCACCGTTGTCTGAAAAGAGTGTTCCTATCCTCTGTTGAAACCGGTTTTCCACAAGTTCCTTGTAGGCTACAAATACCTCCTTGACTTGAGATTTAAGTTTCAATGGATAAAGCCATGTGTATTTGGTGTAATGATCAACAAGAATTAGATAGTATTTAAATTGGTCTGAGGATAGAATAGGAGATGACCAGACATCTGTAAAAATAAGCTCAAGAGGTCTTGTTGATGTTAAACTTGAAGTTGAGAATGAAAGTTTATGGCTTTTATTAATCATGCAATCTGAACATGAAACTGTTTTTGTAGGAATTTGAGAAACAGGAAGAGAAAACTGAGAAATAGTTTTATTGAGAATAGAAAATGAAGGGTGACCCAAGCGTGAATGCCAAGAAGATATTGTAGCCTTAGGAGATGATGAAGTGAGCATGGCCGCAGGTGATGTCTGAGATGTCGGCCATTGATAGAGCTGAGCCTTAGTGCTGCCTTGAAGTAACCGGGTCCCCGTGTTCAGATCCTTCACCTGAAATGAAGAGGGGAAGAATTCGACGGAGACTTGGTTAGTATTACATAGACCATATACTGAGATGAGATTTTTGTTAATCTTAGGCACACACAGAACATCATTTAACATCAGAGATTTATTATTACGAGAGGGAAGGGTAGTGGAACCAGTGTGCGTTATGGTTTGGTTAGAACCATCGGCGATAGCAACTGTCTCACCTCCTTCGTAGGATTGATGCAGGGACAGGTTCTGAAGATCAGAAGTGATATGATGTGTGGCTCCACTATCAAGCAACCAGTTGTTTGCAGTGTATGGTGTTGCTGCAACAGTTTTGGCGCGTGGTTGTCCTTGCCATGGTGTGAAAGGTGATTGCTGAGCAGGTGCCTGATACGTTGAGAGCTGAGGGAAAGACCTTGCTCCATGTCCCTGAATGCCGCATATTTGGCACTTTCCAAGGTAGGGTCGCGGACCTCTTGACTGATGTTGCCAACCCGTGAAAGAGGGTCGCGGCTGATTGTTGTTGTTGTTGAAAGAGGGTCGCTGCTGACTGGTGTAGTGATTTCCACTTTTGTTTTTGTTGTGATGTGCAGGTTGAGACCTCTGGTGCACATGATTCGCAGAGACAGGAACAATAGGCGCAGAAACAGTAGAGGCAAGTTTGGCTTCATGATGCAGTAGCTTCTCATGGATTTCAGTAAGTGTTGGAGGCGTCTCACGGCCTTCAATTTGTTCAATCACCGGCTTGTACTCATCAGTTAATCCGTCAAGTAAGGCATCAATCTGATCCTCTAGATCCATTGGTTTGCCCAATATTGCTAGTTGATCCACACGAGTTGTAACTCCTTGTACGTAGGCGTCAATCGTCTTGGTTTCTTTCTTCCAATACTTGAGCTGATTCCTCAAGTTCTTGATGTGAGCGCGGCTGGGTTTTGCATAAGTAGAAGCAAGGATCTCCCACACTTGAGCCGCAGTGAGCGCTCGCGAGACCAATGGTTGGATAGGAAGAGTGATAGCACCCAAGAGAGCACTATAGATCAGACGATCTTGTCTTTTCCATAGCATGTGTTCTGGATTTGGTGTGGTTTCACCATCAACCGTGACAACAGGAGATGGTACCACCAAAGATCCATCAAGATGGCCGATGAGACCATATCCGTCTACCAAGGCATGAACTTGAAGACTCCACATGAGGTAGTTGGTAGCAGAAAGTTTTGAAACATTTGACATGTTGATGTTTAAGAGATTTGTTTTTGGTTGATCTGTGGGAATGGTTTCGGTGAATGTTGTAGAGTTGGTTGGAGAGGCCATGGCGAGTGGCGTAAAATAGAGAAAGTGTGTAGAAAAATTAGGTTTTTAGGAGCGACGGCTCTGATACCATGTAGAATGTGGAACTTGATTCTCATTAGAAATAACAGAGTTCAATATATACAACTCACGTATCTTGTCTAACTAGGGTTTTATGATTTACATTATAATCCTTTCCATATATATACTCAATCCTCAATACTTTCCTGATAATCATTGGAAACTAAAAAAAAACTAACAATACATGTTAGAACTGAAAAGAAAACTGAAAAACGCTGGAAATACCAAATACCCGATATAATTAGCGAAGATGATTTTTCTATAAAATAGATTTATGTTTTTTTTAATTGAAGAAAAAATTAAAGGAGAAACAGAGCCACCGACGATTGTTGGTGACCCTAAGAACAATCAAAATGTGGTTTATTACATTTGATCATTTGTTCGATTTACAAATCTAAAATGTTTTAGTGAGACATTCTAGTTTTTCTTAATTAGGGAATTCTATCTAATTTTGTTTAGTCGTTAAATTTATATAGATTGGGTAAGTGTTTTTAATGGACAGATTTTAAAATATGAATTACTTGAATAAAACATTTGTTTACCTTTAAGTACCATTTTGCTTATGTCTGGTGGTTTAATCTAAACTATTAAAAGGGAAGTACAAAATAGAAATAACCCTTAGTTTTCCTCAAAAATTACAATAAAATGCCATTACAATCAAAACATGTAGTTTTGTTCTTATATGGGCTTCAATATAGATTTAATGTCCAGTAATTTTAAATCAAAACAAAATTGTCGAAAACCAAACAGCTCAATTCAATTTTAAAAATGGCTTTTGTTAATATAATTTCTAAAGCTCTTATTTTTTGTCTTTTTTGCTTTCTAAATAATTTATTTTTAAAAAATAACTATAAAGTATAATCTTAAAATTATAATTACAGTCACAAAATTTATAGTAGAATTTAATAAAATACAAACAATCTTAACAAGATATTCTAATATTTTACACTTAATTGTTTAGAAAAAAAGACGTTAAACAAAATGAACAAGATACACCGATATCATAACTCAATAATCTATGAACATAAATATGAATGTTTTTATAACTAATATAAATATATATATATATACAGAAACATACATCCGCGCGGACGCGCGGGTCAAAAACTAGTTGTTTAATTAAGATTCGTAACTGTAAAAATAGTATTAATTTAAATTGTAAAATAGTAGTTAATAATAGTATTAACTATATACCCTAAATTCCCCTCCATGATACCTTTGTTCATAGACACCAACATGTTCCATCAAAAGTATTTTCCTAATTTCACTCTTTGTTTTGGGTTTCTAACAAATTCACTCTTATTATTATTATCAACGTAAATGTTTTTTATGTGTTTAGTCAAAAAAAATCATGTTTTATTATCATCTCATTACGTCTGTGTTTTAATATATAGTATTTCTAATCTATTTTATTAAACTGTTGTTATGAAAATCTATCATTAAAATTAATTTAGAAAATTATTTAATAATAGACAAATTTAATAAAATGGCCTTATTGTTAGTAGAAAATTAGAAACAAATAATTTGAAAATAATTATAAATTAAGTACACATATGAAAATTACAAATTCAAAACTGGAAAAATAAAGAAATTGTTTGAAATACTATAACTTGACTACATTTTTTAATACTACATAAAAAACTCATAACATCTGAATTTAATATTTAGTGTGTAGAGTTTAATATTTAAGGGATGAAACTAAGTTTATAAATTTATTTAAAAATTCCAAATGATATATATCATATTAAATATCATATACTTAAAATGAAATTAGAAGAATTTCTTAATTACTTCTAAGATCATCTCCTTCAATCATATTACTTTTTTAACCTTATTACAATATATAGAGAAAATTAATTATTTATTTTAAGATTTATCATCACAAATTAAAATGTGACGATTGTATGATATTTTCATTGACTTGATTGACCTTATTTAATCTTTAATTTTATTATTTCACTCTAATTCTTAATTCGAACTGGATTTGGTTTAAGTTTAGGTATGAGTAATTTCTCTGGCCTTAGGTACAAATTTAAAAACAATTCACTTATATGCCATAATTATTAAAATACAAATATTTACTAATATTTATGTGGGTAAACAAATTCTAAATTCTGAAATAAATCTCAAAGAACATATACAAAAATAATCCTAAAATTTAAAATATTATATTATTTTATGTCCTTTTTAAAGTTAAAAGATCAAATAAAATTTTTTTTATTAAAATATAAATACTAATCAGAATTTTATGGAAAAACGAATTCTTAATTTCTAAAATAAATCTCACACAACATATGCAAAAAATCATAAAATTATAAAAAAATGATTATTTTTATATTTTATAAATATTAAAACATCAAATAAAATCGTGCAAAGCATGGCCCATATCTAGTATATGAATAATTTGTAGCGAAAATACCAGTAAACTTTTAGCTCTTTATTTCGAAAACCAAAATGCGATTCAGAACGACAATATGTAGACATCAATCTCTTGAAATGCTGAAACCCAAACTCAGAATCTATGCCCTTTGTGGTGTTACATCAGCGTCTCGTTTTCATGTTGCACACAACCTGTTCGACAAAAGTCCCAACCGAGTTCAAGAAAACCACACAAGCCTGCTCTTCGGCTTTTCTCGTGACGGACGCACTCAAGAAGCAACGAGACTCTTCTTGACCATCCACCGTTCCGGAACCGAGATGGAATGCTCAATCTTCTCCTCTGTGCTAAAAGTTTCCGCTACTCTATGCGACGAGCTTCTCGGTAAACAGCTGCATTGCCAATGTATAAAGTTTGGGTTCTTAGACGATGTGAGTGTAGGCACATCGCTTGTTGATACGTACATGAAAGGGAGTAACGTTAGAGACGGAAGAAACGTTTTTGAAGAAATGAAAGAGAGGAATGTTGTTACTTGGACTACTTTGATAAGCGGGTACGCGAGGAACGGGTCTAATGAGGAAGTTCTGAAGCTTTTTATGAGAATGTATGAAGAAGGGACTGAGCCTAACTCGTTTACGTTTGCAGCTGCTCTTGGAGTTTTGGCTGAGGAAGGAGTTAGTGGGAGAGGGAGGCAGGTGCACACTGTTGTTGTCAAGAACGGTTTGGACAAAACCATTCCGGTTTCTAACTCTCTGATTAATTTGTATCTCAAATGTGGTAATGTTGGGAAAGCTAGAGTTTTGTTTGATAAGACGGAAGTGAAGAGTGTGGTTACTTGGAACAGTATGATCTCGGGATATGCAGGGAACGGTCTTGATTTAGAAGCGTTGAGAATGTTTCACTCCATGAGGCTTAACCATGTCCGGTTATCGGAATCGAGCTTTGCTTCCATTATCAAGCTTTGTGCTAACCGTAAAGAGCTGAGGTTCACGGAGCAGCTTCATTGCAGTGTTGTGAAATATGGGTTTTCGTTTGACCGAAACATAAAGACGGCTTTGATGGTGGCTTATAGTAAATGTGCAGTGATGTGTGATGCTCTTAGGCTGTTCAAAGAGACGGGTTACCACGGGAACGTTGTCTCGTGGACAGCTATGATTAGTGGGTTCTTGCAGAACGATGGGAAAGAGGAAGCGGTGGGTTTGTTTAAGGAGATGAGGAGGAAAGGTGTTAGACCGAATGAATTCACTTATTCAGTTATTCTCACTGCTCTTCCTGTGATTTCTCCGGCAGAGGTTCATGCACAAGTTTTAAAGACTAATTACGAGAGATCTTCAACGGTTGGGACCGCTCTTCTAGATGCTTATGTGAAGTTAGGTAAAGTAGACGAGGCTGCAAAAGCTTTTAGCAGTGTTGATGATAAAGACATTGTGGCTTGGTCAGCGATGCTTGCGGGATATGCTCAGAGTGGAGAGACAGAAGCAGCTATAAAGATGTTTAGCGAGCTCACAAAGCGAGGGATAAAACCTAACGAGTTCACATTCTCTAGCGTCTTTAACGTCTGTGCTGCTGCTTCCGCCTCTTCTGGACAGGGAAAGCAGTTCCACGGGTTTGCTACAAAATCAAGAGTGGATAACTCTTTATGTGTTAGTAGTGCTCTCTTAACCATGTATGCGAAGAAAGGCAACATAGAGAGCGCGGAAGCAGTCTTTAAAAGGCAGGGAGAGAGGGATCTTGTGTCATGGAACTCGATGATCTCTGGGTATGCACAACACGGACAAGCTTCTAAGGCTCTCGATGTTTTCAAGGAGATGAAGAGGCAGAAGGTGAAAATGGATGGGGTAACATTCATAGGAGTATTTGCGGCGTGTACACACGCAGGGTTAGTAGAAGAAGGAGAGAAGTATTTCGATATAATGGTGAGAGAATGCAAGATTGTACCTACAAAGGAGCATAATAGTTGTATGGTCGATCTATACAGCCGAGCCGGGTTACTTGAAAAGGCAATGGAGGTCATAGACAACATGGCGTACCCTGCTGGTTCGACCATTTGGAGGACAATTCTAGCTGCCTGCCGTGTGCACAAGAAAACAGAGCTTGGGAGATTAGCTGCAAAGAAGATCATTGACATGAAACCAGAGGATTCAGCTGCATATGTGTTGTTGTCTAATATGTATGCAGAGTCAGGAGATTGGCAAGAGAGAGCCAAAGTAAGGAAGCTGATGGAGGAGAGGAAGGTGAAGAAGGAAGCTGGTTATAGTTGGATTGAGGTCAAGAACAAGACTTATGCGTTCTTGGCGGGTGATCAGTCTCATCCTCTCAAGGATCAGATCTATAAGAAGCTAGAGGATTTGAGTACACGGTTGAAGGATTTAGGGTATGAGCCGGATACGAGTTATGTGCTTCAAGATATTGATGATGAGCATAAAGAAGCTGTTCTTGCTCAGCATAGTGAGAGATTAGCTATTGCGTTTGGGTTGATCGTTACACCAAAGGGAAGTCCTCTTTTGATTATTAAGAACCTTAGGGTTTGTGGGGATTGTCATGCAGTTATCAAACTGATTGCAAAGATTGAAGGAAGAGAGATTGTGGTTAGAGATACAAATCGGTTTCATCATTTTAGTAGTGATGGAATTTGCTCATGTGGGGACTTTTGGTGACAATGATAAAGAGTAATGTTTTGGGATTCAAAGCTATCACAACTATTCTTAAGCTATAACATGTTTCCAAGTACAAACATTGGAAACACAAGATGAAATAGAAAAGAAACAAGAGTAACATACAAAACTCAATTTTCTAGTAGAAGATGCTAGCTGAGATAGTGTCATCAAGAATGTCGTGCAAGCCGAGGATCTGCACGCTTTCCTAACCAAAGCAAACTTCATGGTTCTCCAATAGAATATTTAGATCCTACCAGAGAATACACACTAGCTTTCCAAATCTACCTGTAAATGCTTGTCGATAACATGCATGTATGTGTAGCACTTAGCAAGTTAGCAGAGACTACTACAACTATATGCAACATTCGACTAAACATGAAATCATTGCTGACAATTTAATAATCTCTAAAATTTGAAGAACAAATACAGTAATCTACAATTAACCATAGTTAGGAAGTAATTCAAGAGCAAGCTCCTACTCAAGAAGCCAAAATGAAAGATCTAAGACACTGCAGTACTATCCTCGTCCGAGAGTTAATCACTTTTAAATGTAGAGTATGCTTCAGTAGCAACAGCCTTGTCCAGATACGATTTTCCTATTCCACGCAGCCAATAGAGTAGAAAAACTTGTTGTGAATTTCTGATAAGTTCATTGTTGGAGCTTATAAAATAAAATAGAGAGCATTCTATTTAGAAGGTAGAATACTGAACATATTTCTCCAAAAAAAAAAGTATATTGAACATATCTTTATGTACTAATAAATTAGAATTTTAGTTAAAAAATAAAATTCACAAACTGTTATAAGCATGCCTTTTTTATATAAAACTGAAAGTATTTAAATCGAAATCAAACAAAATTAAATATACTAGAGATTTTCTCCGCGCTACGCGCGGATAATATATATATATATTTTTGTTTTATGTATCTAACTTTTAAAGTGTGGTTTATATTTTTTTATTAATTTTAAAATTTTACATTACTATTATGTCAATTATTTTGTATGAGTATGTATCTATTTTTTTTTAAAGTAACAGTATTTTGATTCAACATGTTGCCTGTTTTTTTGTTTTAGAAGGATTTTTGGTTTTTGTATTTCAAAAACCATTGTATTATTGGAAATTTGATTGTATAACCAAAAAAATTTCAATTTACCAATTATACATAACAACTTAATGGATAGAATATAGTCTATACATTATATAATAATAGTTAAATCATCTCTATATATAGTGTTAATTTTTGTTATCTTTTTGTTTTGTTTTCTTTTAGTTAGCATTTTAGTTTTTTTACTAACACAATTATTTGTTTTTAATTCACATATTTGAAAGATATATTTTTATTCATAACATGTTTTGTAAATTTAAAATAAATATATATTTTTACAATTTTATATTAAACTCTATATATTAGTTTTTTAATCTATATGCTATACTACATATTTATATAGTATAGTTTGTAAATTTAAAATAAACATGTATTTTTACAATTTTATAAATATAACGTTGTGTATAACACGTTCACGTACATCAGATATTCCTTATGATTATTTATTAAGATTTCAAAAAAAAAAAAGTTTAAGGGAATTAAAGACCTTTGTAACAATCAATCAACAAACCAACAAAAATCCTATAAAATTGGGAAATCAGTTTTTATATATTGTATCAAGTTTAACTTTTAGTGGTAAAACATAATCAATGTTTTTGAGCTTCTAAAAAGAGCTGGTAACATTCCATATATACTTGTGAGATTTTTTATTTAAATATTAATAAAAAATATATCAACATTTGGTAAATATATATTCCTTTTCTAAGTCTATATTATTTAATTATATAGATATAAGGGTATATTTACTATTTAATAAAATCGCTTGTGATCATTTTCCTCTTTGAATACTTTTTTGATGAAAATAAACTAAAAAGAGCTATCTTAATAAACTTCTCTTTTGGTAAAACCAATAAACATATAACATTAAAAATAGTAAAAATAAATTTAAAATTAAAATTTTCAAACCAAAATGTAAATATTGAAACCAAAATTAAAACCAAAAAATTTGAATGTCATAAACACAATATAAAAATAAAGAACTGATATTTAACTATCTAAAACCCAAAAACTAAAACCAAAAACAACTAAAGCAATCGAAGTCTAAGTTTTTCTTATTTCCTGTGATTTAGATCTTTTTGTATTCTATTTTTAATTTCATTAAGCCTTCGAATAATGTCTATTAAGTTTTTTTGAAAAGACAATGAATCGATTTAGATCAGAGAATTCAAATGTGAGCATGATATAGTTAGACTGTTTAATATGCCGAGATATGAAACTTATTTGTATTCCTTGGTTCATCATCTACAATTGTAGGATGGTTTTTAGAATCTTGGTAAAATCAATTTAAATTACATACATGTACATATTAATAAACTTTAGTACTCGTATTTTTTTCTTTGTTAAAACTTAATGGAAGTTGATATAATTTTGGTGTACATCCATAACACAAAGGGATGAAGCAATAATGGGAGCGGAACAAAGTAAATAAACTATAGGTACAGTAAAAAAAAACTGTAGCAAGAAATGTGGCCTTGACACAAGCTCGTATAGAACTACTTTCCCTATGGCATCCACTCTTTTTATTTATCCTATGTGGCAAAATTAAATGGTTTAAATGAAAGTTTATGATTTTCTGGACTTTGTTGTATAGATTTTCCCGTATAACCATAAGTTTATGGAACTAAATCTATACTTTTGATTATTTTCTCTGCTACATATGCGGTATGAGACTGTAAAAGAACTCCATTATGATTCTGGTTTGGCCTATCCTCCATGGTCTAAACAAAGTCTTTGTGGGTGTGTGTTAGATTAAACGGAATGGCGAATGTGTTAAAAAAAACAAATATATATACAAGGTAGTGAGTCATACACCGAAGAATTTGGCAAGTAGAAACACATAAAACTAAATAAAGGCACTGAACTGCTTTGCTCAGTCACTTGAGTTAAACTCATCTCTCTCCCGCTTCATTGTGTGTATGTCAAGCCTCATTTGAATCAAGTACCCACTTTCTAAGCCCATACGTGTTTCTCAAGATAAGATGCCACTGCCTCTTTGATAGCCAGATTTGGAACCAGTTTTAATGGATCGAGTTTCTCACGGGTTATAGGATCGAAAACCCAGTCTGTGAAGCCTTTCGTACTCTCTCTTCTGAGACTTTGACAGCTTCTCAAACCGGGCATTGCCAAGGATCCGTATTGCAGGCAGCTGGTCATACTCATCTTCCTCCTCCTCCAGCTCCGAATCCATAAGCTCGTCTATCTCCTTCTCTGCTTCATCTCCACCTGACGGTAACCGACGGCACAGAAAACCCGTAAGAAGATGAGGCAGAGAAGCTGTTTGGGTACTACTTGGCTGTCCCAAACCAATGCTGTCACGAAACCTCAGTAGAGATTGAACATCACCAAGAACTTTGGTACAAACGCACAGAAACATAAACTGAGGCTTCCACACCTGTCCGTTAGGAAGAACAAAGGATTCTTTCTACAGCTAGGATGGTTCTCAACTAACAGTACAAAGTTTTGTAGCTTCGTATCAGACACAGCTTGATGTATATAGTGCTGAACAACATCCATGCGTTGGCCAACGTATGACTCGTACTTCACAGAAGCAATTGAAGAATGCGTCATTACAAGTATTGTGTTTAACCATATAGCTGCACCCAAGACTTCAGTTATAAGGCTCAGGAGAGGGTAATCACTGTATCTCATGTCGATCATATCAAGACGGTCCAAGTAAAGAGGTGGACGCTTCTTCGCGTATCTCTTTATAGACATCAAAGTCTTTCTGTTTTTTCTTGTGGTTGAAGGTGAAGGTTGATCCATCCACATATTTTTTTTTGGATAGATCGAAAACCCAGTCTATGAAGCCTTTCATTCTAACCTGCAACAACAACAAAGAAGTTAACGCTAACTACAAAAGGCTAAAGCTTTTGTTAACACAGCTACAAAAGATAAACACTTTTTTTTTTTTTTTTTTTAAATCTAAAGTTCTGTATAGCGATAATGATAACACCATAAATGCATCTTTTATGAGCTGAAAAAGAAACCCAATTTCCCCAAATTCTGTTATGTAATAAGTGAGCTAACTGAATCACAATAACCTAAGAATCATAATCAGTGAGATGAAAAGTCGCAATCGCAAAAAAACACATATCAATACTAAAGAAACTGAAGAGTATAAAAAACTTGGGTGGTCAAGCCACATATTTGAATTGAGAAAACTGGAGATACCTTTTGTATTGGCGACAGTGTTGGGTGATAGAGGATCGAGGTAAGACAAAGGTTAGGTTTTTAGGAAATTAGGATAACGAAGAAGATGCCCCCTCCCTAGCAAGAAGATTCGACCGAAGCTTAAGAGTAATGAAAAGAAGTAAAGACGGAGAGACTGAGAGATTGATACGCAAACCTTGTTAATATGTTCAAGGATTGCTGCTCTTTCATACGTAACCCCACTCAGAGATATCACAGGATCTCGGAATATCTCAAAAGTAATGTTGCAACACAAGTAATCTGGCGCCTGAAAAAAGAATTGACACATAATGGTATGGACGAAGGGCTCTTGCAAATGGCATTTGAAGAAACATTAATGCACCTCAAATGGTTTGTCGTCTTCTGCAACTTTCTCAAACACTCGATCGATCAAGAGCTTTCAATTGATCAGTATGGGAAGTATAGGCTTCTTCCGAGGAATCTTCTGTTCTATACATCTCTATAGCACGTTGTTGAGTAAGAGCATCTTCACAAGTTTCCCTAAGATGAACATGAACAGTTCCATAAAGCTACAGTTAAGCATGATACCTTGTTGTCAAGAAAAACCATGTCCACCGCAGAAACTCACCGGCATTCCAAAATCATAGAAACATCTGTCCTTCGAATCAGAAAAGTGGAGCTGGTTAATCGCCATCGGTTGATGCTCTGTCTCTAGATAAGCGACGTTTGATCCGAAAATAAGGGCTCGATAAATAGCTCGACTGAGAGGAAGGTAAAAAGAATCCATCGTTGATGGATTAAACATGGCTTTGATTACAGAAAAGAGAGGAGGAGAGGAGTGAGGAAGAGGAATCGCCGAGAGGAGAGGATGACCTAATGGGTCTCTCGATACACATATTCCAGGCCCAAATTTCAAATCCATCCGATAGATTTCCATGTGTCGCTGACCTGGCAGAACAAAACAATTTTATTGGCCGATTAAATTTAGTGACGTGGACAGCTTATAATCTCTAGAATAAGCCCTTTTAATAAGAGTAGATTTTCATATAATATTTAACTTTATAAACCGAAATATTCGAATTTGAATCCGAATTGAACAATTGCAAAACGGTTATCTAAACCGGTAAAATGGAAAAGACAAAAGCCTTAGGTCAAAACCAGTTGACCCCATCACAAAACTCTTCTCTCTTCCGCCCTCGACTGCTCTCTACTCTGTTCTGTCGAGCAAAAAAAATGGGAAAAAGAGACAAAAAACCTAATCGACGTCGCCACAAAGGAGAATTCTCGAATGACGCCGAAGATTTCTACGATCAACACCCTCCGGCTTCTCCCTCCGTCGTCGACGAAGAAAACTCAGAGGAAGAAGAAGAAGAAAGCGACGAGCTCCAGTCTTCATCTGATTTGCCCTCAAAGTTCCTTTTATACCAACAATCTGTGCAGGTAACACTTACTTACGTTTTGGCCTTTTAGTTTCCAAGATTACTTTCATGTTAAAATCTTGCTGTGGTTAAGACTTTCACTGTCCTGCGTTTATGTGTTTGTCGTTTTTTGGACAACATTAATGTCTTTTCTGTTATTTGTTCGCAATTCCATTGTCTCTTCTGTCTTTTTTCTTACAGAGAGAGAGAGCACTAAGTTTTAAGACATTGTATCATGTGCAAATGTTCAAGAAATCGCTATGTGTGGTAGTTATTGGCTTTACATGAGATTATTGATTAAGCGGACACATCTGTCTGATTTTTTTTAGCGCCTAGACCTATTTTTTTTTTAGCTGTTTGTACCAATTTTTTATTTTTTTAAAATCGTTTTGTTTAGGTCTGATTTTTAGAACAGTGATTATAATGTGTGTTGTGGTTGCAGTCACCAAAAGGAGACATAAGCTACTTGCAGAAGTTCTTTTTGATGTATGTTGGTGGAAGGCAGCCTCTCCATTTTCAAGAAGATTTCTGTGGCACTGCTCTCTTAAGGTTTTTCTTTTCCTCTTCTTAAAAAAAACACTCATCTTGCAATCATGTGGAATTAATAAATCTTGTGTTTGCTTCCAACAGTGCAGAGTGGCTGAAGACTGACACGAGGAGGACTGCTGTAGGACTAGATTTCGACCTCGAGGCACTAGAATGGTGCATGGATAACAACATCAGTAAACTCGGTGCTGACGTGTACTCGAGAATGTCTCTTCTCCATGGGAATGTTTTGACACCTCTTGACGCTAAGCAAGTGACTTCCAAATCCCACGAGCTTATGCAAAATATCAGCTTGGATGATGATGATGATGATGATGATGGTGATAAAGAAGATTTGGTTGTTGAATCCATGGAGAAAGATTCGTTACCGAAGAGGGATATCGTGTGTGCTTTCAATTTCAGTTGCTGTTGCCTACACAAACGCTCGGAGTTGGTTACTTACTTCAAGAATGCACGTGACGCCTTGTCTAAAAATGGTGGTATCTTCGTTATGGACTTGTATGGAGGTACCTCTGCCGAGGGACAGTTGAAGCTTCAACGGAAGTTCCCAACTTTCACGGTATATAATGTTAAAACTGTTATACTTCATTTGGAATAATATTACTAACGATTGTCTATTTATCTTATGGCAGTATACATGGGAGCAGGCTGAGTTTGATATTGTTAGTCGCAAGACAAGGATCAGTCTTCACTATCACCTTCAGAAGCAGAACAGAAAGATTCGCCATGCTTTTTCTTATAGCTGGAGACTGTAAGTGACCTCTCTACTCTGTTTCCACATTTATTTTTTAAGCCTAACGAAAAAAATTACATTATGTAAAAAAGCATATAATATAGTTGTAGGTAGGAATTTTAATAACTTTTTAGACGACTAGAAAAGCGTAGGATGTGTATATTACCCTATAATGTCAATGATATCATGGTAGTGAGTTAATCCCTGTGTTTAAGTAGCACGTGTGAAGTGGATCTTTTGTTGTAAATGTGTGTATGTGTAGGTGGTCATTACCGGAGATAAAAGACTGTATGGAAGAAGCGGGGTTTAAATCAGTACATTTTTGGCTCAGAGAGATGCCAGAGGCTTCTGAAATGCGTAGAACAGATGGGTTTGGTGCAGGACGTGATATCAAGTACGAAGAAGTCAAGAAATTTCAACAGTGCGATGCTTGGAATGCTTACATTGTTGCTGTCAGCCTTTAGTTCTGTGTACCAACACCCTTGTGGCTGACTCTTTATTCAAGTCCCATAACTATAGAATCGGTTATGCTATCTTTTGGTCAAAACCTATGAAACCTGACACTTCTTTCGACTTTACATCTGATTTTTGTTTGTCACATACTAAGTTGACATTTATGCCAAGAAGGGAAAGTTGATGTTGTCGCCTGCTCGGTATTGAAGCTTTTGATTGACTTCTAAAGGTTGCACTTATTCCGCGATTTTAAACATTTAAGTTGAATTTTACTATGAGTACATACATAGTTTTCCTTATGTTAACCTTAGACAGTGTTTTTGAGCATGACTTAATAATACCCGAGCTAGCTTCCGATGTCACTCGAGCAAACACATTCAGTGTATAGTCTTTTACTATCCAACTAATTTTCAAGGGTGAGTATATTTGTTGAATAGCCCATTCAGCTTTTTTCTTTTAATTCTTAAGTTTGGAACCATTTCGACTTGTTATAAGGAAGTTCAATAGTTAAACTTAAATCGAACCTTTTACTAGTAGACAGTCACACTTGTTGTCTGGACCCGAAAGACCTTTAAGAGCTAATTCGCAGTGAATCCAAATAGATAATGAAACAGATGAGTAGACTGAAGAGAAAGACACCAGATGGTAGTCAAATTGATGAACCCATTGATGACTAATTGTGAACACAACTACAATCACAAATTCAAATTGACAAAATGGTACTAAGGGAATTTCAAGTTTGTTACTTAAAACAAAAAAAAAAGCGATAACTGAGCTAAATGATGGTTAGGAAGTTGAAACAGTTTTAAAAAGAAAAATATTTTTTTTTTTTTTTTTTTTTTGAAACACAACTTTCATTCATACTTAATCTTCTTCAATACAATAGATAGAGAGAAATTTCCATCCTCTTAAACACCAAGCATAAGATACCAAACATAAATAAGCTAAGCAAGATAGGTCTTCAATCGAAGATGACAGCGAATTCGAGACGAAGCTTGAATCGTCGGGGCAGCATATAGCTGGAGAATAGTCACGTAGTGTGACGTTGAGGTCCAGGTCTCATCAACGAGAAACACCAAGGTGGTCTCGATTGCATTTTCAGGTCCCGTAGAGACCGCTCCACAAGATAACAAAGCGATGAGAAAACTGAAACAAACACTCGGCCGTAAGACCAAGGAGATACCTCTTTCCATAGGAAGAGGGTAAGGTGGTAACGAAACTGCTTCCATAGGAAGAGGTTTGTTTAAAACTGTTACAGAGAACCAAAACACAGCAGTGGTGAGAGACTCCTCTCGACTCGTTGCTGGGGAAGAAGCCATATGGAGAGAGGAGAACGCCGGTAGATCTGAGACGAAGAGTCCTCGGCTTCGTCGTTGAATCCGTTGGGGTTTTCTTCCTTCGATAGCCTCGACGGTTGAATAGCCTACTGGAACAGGGGAGAAGTGAGGAGATCTCCAGCAATACATGGATCCGGAATCCCGGAATCCAAGACAGTGGTAACGAAAAAACAGATTGCAAAACAGAGAGAGGATGCTTGAGAGTAAACGGCGAAGCAGAGATCCCGACGCCGGCAGCCAGAGGCGTCACCGGCGTCGAGGAAGAAGGCTGGCGGCTGTACCTCGATTCTCGGGTCTGGGAGCTTTCTAGGGCGAACTTGCAAACTTATCTAATTAATTTTAACATATGCATTTCAAGTTCAATAACATATGCATTAATTTTAACATAAAAATGTTTTTATTAGCTTGGACAAACGAAAATTATATAAATGAGAAAAATTAATTCATATGATTTTTTTTGTATAAACCACTGCGGATGAGAAGGCGGCACCACTGCTGTGTTTGACCTGTCGACGGTGTGTTCTGATCACAGGGTCGCAGGTGCAGGTCTGTGTTTTGCGGAACCCACAGGTACGCGAAGCAGCGTACGAGTGCTAATTGATAGGGCTATGATAAGAAATATCAGTTATATTTATATTCAAAATACCAGAAACATCAATCCATATATGAAAATAAACCAAAACAAGAAAGGCCAAATTTATTTAGATGACAATAATAGTTCATAACAATACACCCACATATAGATATCATAATAGAAAGGCTGCTTAACGTAAATAAAATTGTAGAATGCATGGAACCACCGATATTGCCCCCTGGAGCAGAAGTCAGTCAATGTTTAACGGCGTCTAGCGGCGGTCTCACGCTGGCAGTTGAAGAAAACAGCTGCAACGGGGAGGCCGAGATCGTTCTCATATGCAAACATCCGAGTGTTGAATTGGTCTCTGTAAGACGGCACAGAAACCACACTTCCTCTACGGTTCTGCTTGAAAAGCAAATACACAAATCGGTGGATCCCTATGTTTGGCCGAGGCATCTCGTACCCTACTAGTTCTTTTCCTGTTTTGTATTTTTTTAATATTAAAATTAGTTGACATGTATATGAAACTAAATCTCTTTGATTAGAGGAACTTCATGATGTACACCGACGAATAGATTATAAAGAGTCCATATAATTAAGACAAACTTTTAGGTTACAGTTCTGGGTCATATATAAAACTAATGAAGGATGCATGTTATGTCATTTGTTTGATTTACTATAGTATTTAGTATTATATATATGCTTACCAAATGTCACGTCGGTTGTCCCTGGGATATCGGTAACAATCCTGACATATCATTGCAAAAGATGTTATACATGTGCATACAATCTTCATTTTGGAATAATTATACATGTGCATACAATCACATGTCTCATAACCAAAAAAAGGAAGGAACAAATTTTACCAGTGCAAGTGCTCCCTCAGATAAGGATCACTAGGTCCAGGAACATCAGGATCAGTCATAACCTGTTTGACATATTCGATATTCATGAATCATGAATATATCTACACGTGAAGATCTACATAAAGAATTTTTCAAAAAAAAAAAAAGATCTACATAAAGAAACACATGTATTTGCAACAAAGAATACGCATGCAGTTGCTTTGCAGAAAAGAAAAACAAAGAATACGCAGCTTTCTTGAACACTGATTACAGTAAGATTCCCGAAAATACAAACTAAATATGCAAAAAATTGGAGTTTCATGAAACAGGTTTTGTTACTTTGTATGTACCATTCCTAAACATATCACCACGGTAAAATCTGTGAAAAAAATAACAGCTACTCGAAGATTATATTCTTCATAAAGCTAAGAGATCCGTAATAATAAAGTCATTATTTCTTTTACTTTTCAGGTTTCTTTGTTTTCAGGCTCGATGAATAATCGATTTTTGTTTTGGAAATGTGTATTTTTTTCAAAAATTTAAGAATATTTTTTGCATCTTGCGTCTTAAGAGTGATAGTAAAAGAATAAGCAGAGTAGTGGCATTTCACTACATATACCTATATTTGTGGTAAGTCTCTTTACAAAAACTTTTTCTCCAAAAAAAAAAGTCTCTTTACCAAAACTAGATACGAAAATGTTTATGGATTACATAACGAGCAATGACGGGAGTTATATTAAGTAAACAAAACGGCTAAGCAATATTTGTATAAAGATATATGATAAAAGTTTGCGTACCAAAGTGAAGAATGACCTCATGTCACCCCCATGAACTTCAACTTTGGGTTTGTTTGTAACTGCAGAAGGGAAAAGTTCATGGCCATTGTAGACTTGCTTGTCGCAGTTATAAGTCACTGTCATTTTCACCGCCTGCAAACAATTGTCCACAACGTCTCCGATCACTCTCCCAACCATAAGAGGGTCTGACGATATCCGGGCCATCTCGATTGCTTCTTTAAGAGCTGAGAAGAAACAAATGATAAATTTGAAGGATAAGGAAATAATGTTTGATGAGTTTGTGTATGTGTGTGTGTTATTGCGGAGATAGACAAGCGTGGGCTTGCTTTGGGGGATCGGATTTGTTAATGTTGATTTAGTGAAGACATAAAGTCAGAACAACATGTATTTATAGTATTTAAGAGAATAATAGGCCATAGTGAATTTGATTTGACGTTTAGATTCAAGGAACTTTGACACTTCGAGATATATGAGTTGTCCTTTTACAAAAACATGTTTTTTTAAATCGACATAGATGTCATCCACTAAAACTGAGTGAATTTACGGACCTTTAAGGTTATTAAATTACTTTTATATTGGTCAGACGAATGTGTAGGTTTACATCAAAATAATACTTTCTAAAATTCCAAAGAATAATTACTAAACCTAGCTTTTGGAAGGGGACAAGTATTCACATGGAAAATTATACTCTCTGAAGCAGGGTCGAATTTGAGCTTTCAGAGAAACATTCAATTAAGAAACTTTATTAAAAAAATATTTTTCTTTTGTAATTTGGAAGTCTATTTTTATATAAAAAATTTTAAAAAAATTTGGAGATCAAAACTAATATTTTATCCGGTTGTGTCCAGATCTGACCCGGCTCAGAAGTAACATTCTATATTGCGTGATGGTAACTTTATAGTTCTACATGTAAGTCTAACATATTAAACCTGTGATTATATATGTACATGGAAAACTTTTCTGACAGAAAATAAAAAATTACTAGCCAAATGGTTACATTCCTAAACTAATTTTTAACCATAAAATTAATACTGTAGATTTAGACTCGGGTAAAGAGGAAGAGAGATGTGCTGTCATAGATACAGCCATGTTATTCTCTAGCCATTACTCGAACGTTATTCTCCACTCTCCAGCCATTATTCAAACAGAAGTCGAGTTACCAAGTGGTGGCATTGGGAATCTAACTTTTCCTTTTACTTTTTATCTGAATTTTAAACTAAATTTTAACGGCGACTGATCGACGGATGTACATAGATTTCACCTTTTTGTTTTTTTTTTCTATATACCTTGCATAGTATTTCCAGTGTGGCGTTTCTATAACCAGAGTATAGGCAGCTTTGAAGGAGGTCGGTTTCTGGTCTGCGCGTTCGCGGTCTCCTTCTCGTCGGTGTTAGGAATTTCTCCGGATGGAGTTCTTTTGGGTCTCAGATAATCTGACCCCATTTGAGATTATTGTAGGGCTTTTTCTTTAGTTATTTGTAGTTGTATTAATAAAATTATTAATGAAAACCTTTTCCAAAAAAGATATGTATGTTACGAAAATTAATTAATATTTTTATATATACTCCCTCTGTTTCATTATAAGTGTCACTCTACAGTTATGCACACGGATTAAGGAAATAATTAATTTTACATATTTTCTATATAAAAATACAGTTACCCATACACCTAACCATATTTTAACCAATATAAAAACAAATTACATAATAAAATTAATAAATTTTGCATTGAAAATCGAAAACGACACTTATTTTGTAACGCAAAAAATTCTCTACAACGACACTTAATATGAAACAGAGGGAGTATTAATTATGAACTTATTTTCGAAACTGATTCTCAGTTGTTATCTCAGAAATAAAAAACAATTGCTGGTGGTAATAATATCCAATAATCAAAATTCAGCCAAATTTAAGCCTTTTCACAAAAAAAAATCAACCAAATTTGGTGTGTAACATCCAAAGTTGGTTTAGGTAAATCAAGGTAGGGTCTTTTGCAACCTTTGACCGACCGTTTATACCACCAATTCTTTGGTTTCTTTTTGCGCTATGAGCCTACTGATATAAAACTTATCGAAAAAGCTAATTTAAAGTGTATGTCCTCGGATTGGATGTTATGGCTATTTTTGAAGCTGTTGAAAAAACCTTCTTTGAAGCATATAATCTTTTTTTTCTCAGTCGGCTATATGGACAGCCATGAGCAATGTACATTTTCAGTGAATGTGGATTTTTTCTTTGATTAACTTAATAGCTAATCTCGAAACATATAAATTTCCTTTGGTCCACTTAGTTATTTGTTTGTTAAAAACTGGTTATCAGATTTAGCGAACTGAGAACAAGTTTTTCACAGTTACCAAAAAAAGAAAAAGTTTTTCATCCTACGATGTTATGTAGCTATTCATGTTGTCAACTAGTTATAATCTTAGTTTTGAGCTTTATATATGAGCTTTATATATATATATATATAGTATGAGTTTCTAAAGTCCCTTCCTCGCACTAAAATGAGAATTTGTGCGCTATGAGTGGGATGAGAAGGGGCAGATTAACCAATTTGGTCTTCAAATTTCCTTTTCTGGACGGTATATATAGATTATATGTATGTTTGCCATATCTTCAATTAATTAAATATCCTAAACACTAAAGAAATGTTTAAAAAAAAAAGGAACCATTTTTTTTTTAATTCTAATTGTCAGTATCCACCATAAATCACAGCCTTCGTCGTTTTATTATGCAAGATTAAAGAAATACAGACACTTCAAGTGCCATTATTCTGTTTATAAATCTAAACGTCCCTTTTGCAATAAGGGTAATCAGAAACTTAAAATATTTCTCAAAAGGTAATAAATTTGAATTTTGAAGTGTGGGGAAAAAGAAATATATTCTCTGGTAGGTGAGTGGATGTATTGCAAAGAATAAATCCTAAAACAACTAATATTATTTTAAAACTTACCATATTTGGAAATTTTAATGTTGGCGATCCACAACCACAATGCGCTTCCAACACATAGAAAGCTGACAAACTGTGAAAAGGTCACTCAAATTGAGAGGAAATATTCCTTACGTCTGTCACTCTCTGTTATTTTTTCTCTATATAATTTTTTCCTTTTCCATTAAAAAACAATGAAATTGACAAATAAGATATGGCTTTCCTCTTATAGAAACCCTGATGCCATCTAACTGTCCTCAGATTACACGTTTTAAGTGTACTTTGCATGTGATCATGAAAATATTTAAAGTTCAAATAATCTTAACTAATTAATTTTTTTCTTTTGTATATTTGAATATATGAACCAACACCAATCTATGACACATGTCATATGCTGTCTTATTCGCCAGTTTTGTAAGAGCACTTCTAACAAAAATTTTAGAATCATGATACTTAATATATATATATATATAAAAAAAAAAAATATATATATATATATATATATTTAATTATAAAATTCTTAATTTTACGAGAAATCCAATCAAAACTATACTAACACATATATTTTCGATTGAAATTTCTATAAAATTAAAAATTCTATTATTAAATATAGATATATTATTTTTTTGAGAAATGATATAATGGATATGGCTTAAACGGATCATAACTTCCCATTCAAATATCTCTAGTAGCAGCTATGGTTGAGATTTCATATGATTTGATTCAAAACTAAAGTTCTCATGTGGAAAGATTCACGTGGTGTGGGTGATAAATATCTATATGAGTTGATGTGTTTGAAAGGGATGAGAACATTGTCAAGTTCAAAACTAAGGATGTCTAACTGAAAAAGTGAGTTCACAGAAGGGGTATGAGCAACATCACATACATTCTGATGATCATCACTAAATGGTCACCGATAGAAAAAGAAAAGTATAAACAGTAAGAGCCATTACAATGTGGGATGCTAAACAATGTACGCACATGACATACTTGTATATGAGGTGTAAATACATATGTTTACATTGGATTCATGCTTCGAAGAAAGTTTCTGCTACTTGACCAGTTTGAGCTTGGACTTCGGTTCAATAACATACGACCTGACTAGCTCATGGCATTAGTCTAAGGACATATAAGAAAAAGTACTTGTAGGAACTCAATATTTAGTCATGTTGTACCAATATAATTTTGGCAACTTTTTGGTAAATTCTTTTCACATAATAAATGAATAGTTTCGAGAGTAATCAATGTATAGCCGTAAACACTATAGCAAACGGAATTCATATGTCAATATTAGAGTTTGTTTGAATGATAAATGCGTTTTCACCTCTGGGTACTTTGTGTAGCGGAAGTGTAAGGGTCCTTATGGGCAGAGGCTCAACTTATAGTTCCAGGAAGGCATAATGAGGTTTTACCAGTTTTTGACTAGCAATCCTTCGGACATTCTAGAATTTTCTTTTTCGATGGTGCATGGAGAGAGCAAGACTGGTTATATCGTACCGTTGGCTCAGTTGACATAATGATGGGAGTAATGAATCTCCGAAGAAGCTTATCATCTTTACACGCAGAATGTGAAGCTTTAATATAGGCTATGAAGTGCATGAAGACCCTCAATTTTTCTGATGTAATTTTTGCAACAGACTGTTCTCAGTTGATGAAGATGGTGTCTTCACCCAAAGAATTTCCAGCTTTTGTTACACACATGGAAGAAGTTCGACGCAGTAAGAATTTATTTCCTTCTTTCAAGATCAGACATATATCAAGAACACATACATGGGCAACAAATTTGCACGAGGTGTTAGGAGCTCTCCATCTATTATTTTCTATGTCGATTCTTCACTTCAAATTTGGCTATCTAAATCGGTAGGACAAACATTATAGTTTAATTTGTTGTAAGAAAAGAATGGTAATTACATTTTCTATGTTTGTTGAGTGTGAAATGCGCGAAATGGATGTGGCTGACATTGTGTAGTAGTCTTAAAAGGTTAGAAACCATAGGACAATAATATACAAAAATAAACTCATACAAAACATGAATGCCCCAAGTCAAGACAAGATGAGCTTGGGCGTAGGTTTTGAGTTTGGGTATGAGTTCGGTATATTGGCTTGGGTCTAATAATCTGTCTTTATGCTTACGGTTTTGTTTTTAATATCTAATCAATATTGAATTCAATTTTTTCAAAGCATTTACATGTCATAATCAATCTACCATTAATTGATGACAAATTCTTTGTAACCTTTTTCTTTTTAATGCTCAATTTATTTAAGAAATAAATTTCCATAATATTGTAGAATATAAATGAAAAAAACAACTATTAAAACCTCCCAAACTTTCAAATTAAAGCGAAAAATATTTTAACTCATGTTTGAGCCAAAAAAATTCTCAACTTTTAAATATTGATTGTTTTAATTTTCATATTTT